TCCTCTGCGAAGTCGAAAGCGAAAGGTAAAGGGAAGAAGCACAAGGAGGAAGAGACGTATTGTATCTGCAAGACTAATGCCGATGGACCGATGATCGAGTGTGATCAGTGTAATGATTGGTAAGTGATTCATCCATCTTGTCTTCATCCGCGTACGAGAGTCTAGCAAACAGTTCACTGGCCTATTGCTTCAACTGCGCTGCGCTGTCGTGATCGATGAGCTCGCTGCTGCACGCCTCTCCCTTTCCATCCGTTGCTTCGTCCCAAATCGACACGTGTTCATATCTCGTCTCCCTTCTCGAGCTTGAAGGATCGAATTTGCTATTACTTGGTCTTTATGTCTGCCCCTTTCTCTGCCATGGCTGTCATCGATGCCAGATCTGGGTCAACCGAAGTAGACTCCGGTTGTTGTTCTACTTAGCATCAGCCCTTCCCTTAAACAGCCAACGTTGTCAGTCCGCCCAAACAATAAACTGGATCAGCGCATTCTAAGCGGGAAACCTGATCTTCTTGGTCTCTACTTTCTTGGTCAACTTCTCCTTTCTTGACCCGTGTACTCCGTATTCGGTTCCCGGTGACCTAAAATGTACACAATCGATCTGAGATCTCGTGATACCTCGATATCCTCACATCGCCTCCCTCCAAGTCCTCAGACCTTTACTGACCAGGCTGCTCACTTGCATCCGATAAACTCTTGAGCGTTCTGACATCTGTCTTCTTTTGACAGGTTCCACTTCTCCTGTATCGGCATGACCGACGATGAAGCCGAGAAGATCCGTATGTTCTGTTTCACCTCGGTAAACTCCGCTGCCAGAAGACCGCGCTGACTGGCTTTTCATCATCCACTTATCACCTCAGAAACATATGTCTGTCCAGGATGCGAGAGCAGCACGGGCGAGAAATCCACACGTAAGTTTGATTCAGGCTATATGACAACTAGTCCATATATCTACGTAGATAGTACATTGTCTCTCCGCGTTGCTATTCCGTCATATGGATGGATGTTGGTGCACGATCAACAGTCAGCATTTCATTGGGTTATGCCATGTCAGCTGCATGTTATTGTTGGTTCCGACTATCGTTGCAATATACGTACCGTCACCATTTCTATGCCATACCAAGTATTCTCGTTGAGCTCGGCTCATACCATACCAATCCGTAATCTTAGACACGCAAGACATCCAAACTCTCCCTTCCCCGTCTCCACCGCCTGACACTGTCCCCGCCAAGCGGAAGCAGCCAAGCAAAGCAGAGGTAAGCGAAGTATGCACCTGCAAGTATGTGTACAGGTTTGTTGATTACGACCCTTCCTTTAGGCCCCGTCTCCCCCTGCGACACCTGACGACCGCGGTGACAATTTCGAACCGACGAATGAGGCGAGCCCGCGCCGCATCTCAACGGGACCATCACCTGCCAAGCGACCTCGGAAACCTTCGATTGACACCAAGCGTAAATCCTCGCTCGATATTGGACCCCCAACCGTAACGTCGACCGCAAGCGTTTCTGATGTACCGCCGATGCGTACATACGTGCGTGGAAAATTGGCTCCACAATTCCAGAAGTTATTCGTAGCCATGGACGATGAGACGGCGGGTCAGTTCGCGGCCGAGGTAGAAGAAGGGATGTATAGGAATTTCAAGGAGGTCGTCGGAGGGAAAGAAACGGCTGGGACGCGATATAAGTGAGTGATACATATCTGATATATGAGCTGACTCGAAACCAGAGCCCAATTCTACCTGCTCTCCTCATCGCTCGGCAGAGGTCTGAGAGCAGACCTCGCTCAATCCATCAGAGACGGCTCGCTATCCCCTGCAGCAATCGCCACACTCGCCTCGGCCGACTTGGCTTCTGAGGAGCAGCTTGCCCATATCGAACGAGTGAAACAGTCTGTACTCGAGCAAACGGTCAGAGCAAAAGAGGAACTAGAATCTGTTAGGATTGGTCGGGATGGCTTTGAGAAGGTGGAAAACACGCATGAGAAAGAGATGAAGGCGCTGGCCGAGCAAGAAGGGGTGGCAAGGACAGAAGCAGAAGAAATGGCGAAGAAGGCGACGGAACCCGACGAGCCTGTCGAGACCAAATCACCTGTAATTCCCGATGTGCCTCGCTTCGCTCCCCGCCGGTCCGAGTCCACCGATGTGGTTGCAGCTTCTCCCTTGAAGGAAACAACCTTCGCCCTCTCGTCGGCTTGGGGCAAGGACACGGCGGAAGTCGAGATGGACGAGCCGACATTCTCGGGAGACCAGAATGAAGTCGATCTAAGCGATATTGTGGCGTCTGATGAGGTATTAGACGACATACTCGATGACATCGTCTCTGAGGCGAAGGCAGGTCCTACAGAGATCGAGATCTTCGAGGCCAAGCCTATCGTATGGTCAGGAGGGGTGAGTGCTCACACTCCAACATGTCCGCGCCCACATACAATGCTGATGTGATTCTTTTATAGATCGTGAATCCTGCCAACCCGTCTTCGCATGTGCCACCTATGTCAGTCCGAGTTGTCTGTAGGACCTCACCTCCCGACTGGTCACTCCTCCTCCCGCATGAGCGCATCGAGATCACCGGCCGAGTGGAAATCAAGAACTCCCTCCGGTTCCTGAGCGATAGTCGACTCAACCCCACGAAGGAACTTATAGTCGTCGCGTTCACCCTCGACCCGAATGCGAGCGAGGAAGAAACCGCTACGTGGGAGGACATGATCGAGTACCATATTGGGAGGGAGCGACATGCGCTGTATTTACCTTACGGCTCTGCCGGAAGAGGAATTGTGCCGCCCGGCGCAGCAAGGGAGGTGTATATGATACCTCTTAGACCGTCAGATCCGTCGCCTGACTTCACTGATCTCATCGATGGGTATTCCTTGCCATCGACCGGTCGGACGTCGTCGGTATTCTTAGGTGTTTTCGTGTGCAATAAAGGCGCTTCCCAGCCCAGACCTATACATACAGCTTCCAAACCGAATCTAGCAGTGTCCGCTCCAGTACCACCACCGCCACCTGCTCCTCTACCAACAACGACTATGCCGGCTGCACCGCCTATCATTCAGAACGAACAGCTTGCAGCGCTGATGATGAGTCTCAATCCCACCGCATTACAAGGGGTGCTCGGCGGATACACTCCCACCCAACAAGGCGGTCTCTCTCCAGTCTCAGGCTTCGCTGGTACAGTGCAAACACCACCACAGGGAGGGACAACTCCCATGCCTCCACCACAGGCCTGCCCGCCATACCCGCCGCAAGAGTATATGCCACACCAACCACAAGAACGTTACACTCCTTTGGCACCGTACCACTCGCAGCCCCAAAACGATTGGCAAGCCCCTCGACCGAGGGATCCGAGAAGAGAAAGAGGGCGGAGATGAACGCGTTGAGGATACTTGATAAGTTGTTCCACTTATATAGTCATTTCCTTTTGGATCCGCTCCTAGACAGAGTATATCGTGATACAGTCTTGTCACAGCCGACATCCATAGCCACATAGTCACTTTTTTTCGCTTGGGCAGATGAGCAGCGAAATGGAAACCCACCGATGACTTGCATCACAAATAAACGAGAGCACGAATTCAGAGAGTGATTTCCAAAATACTTGTAAGCCGATGCAGAGTGATACTTGTCCATTTCTTTTCGTTTCTAGGTGAGGCTGAGGGTTGGCCCATACACGTGAAAATGAACTGGCTTCATCCATTTTGCTACTGTTTTGCGGTTCCCCTTGCAGTGATTAAACTCTCCAGCTCTTCTGCGGAACCGGGAGATGCACGTAAGAGTATGCGGTCGCGGATCGAGCTGTGATACGATCCTTTCGCCGGTCAGAGCCCCGTCAATTCGACAGACAGATCCAGCAGAGATAGTATCCACGATCCAGCCCCCGTTCCATCCGCCGAGCTTATGTTGCATCCTCCGCCGTTCGGACTTGTCACGACAAAAAGTCCAGCCCTTCTCACCTTGCTTCAATGTCCAGCAGCAGCAGGGATAAATGACCGGGCCTCGTCTACAGCGTGCAGATACTGTCTGACATCAGCCCGCCCGAACGAACGACCGAGCGAGCTTCGGGGTTTCCCAATGCAAAAGGGCGGAAGTCGTGCTGCTGTACACGCCAGCGATCCATCTTCCCTGCTTTCCACAGGCCTGCGAAAGGAGGGTTGTTACGGGCCGCGAAAGTAAATGTGGATGCGCGCTGACGCGACCAACGGGCCAGAGGCTGTTTTCGTTTCCCTACTCATAACTTCGAGATGAGCAAGAAAGACTCCATTGTCCGCCGGCGGAGGAACTGGCCCATTCATGGCTCGATACGGGTATTCCACACAGGCCCACGTTAGAAGCGGCTGACACGACACGACAGCTTAAGCCGACTTCGGCGATGAGTTCAAAGGCAGAAAACGCCGGTACTCGACACCCCAAGCGAGCTCAGCAAGTCTACGAGAGACATGCAGGGCAATGGGAGAGTACTCGGATTATGAGCTTATGGCTCATATGAATTCGACGACAGCTTGTCAGCCAATACGAGTATACTCGTACTCGAATAACGAAATATAGCTTTCAGCGAAAATATGTTCATTGTGCAGCTTGAAAGCAAGTATTACCCGTGGCGCACGACACTCAATTGCTACTTGCTGAAAAGCCCGCTCAATAGGGCGACTTTTCCCTCAGGCGCCCAGGTGGAGCTCCATCGGCACACCTGGATTTCACAGAGTTTGCTCGACATCAGAGTCTCAGCAGCTCCCGAGTGCGGTACTCGATGACTATACGAGCACGGTCTGAAGGCAGTCGTCATCTGTCTGCACGTAACCTGTCAATTCGGCAACAGAGAGTTTTCCATGCGGTCCTATGAGCAAGTTGATTCCAAAGCTACCTGCATGCTTGGAAGTACTCGTGGCATACCTGAAGGAGCGTGATGACCTGTGAAACACGCTCTCGGGGCAAGAGAAACTTGCCAAAGCACCCTCTCGTTTTTTTTAGAAACACTATATAGAGTGTTATCAAAAGTTGATAACCATCACCTCAAGGCACTATGGCCGAGTGGTTTTAAGGCGATCGCTTGCTATGATTCAATCAAGTAGCGGTTGGGATTTCCCGCGTGAGTTCGAATCTCACTGGTGTCGGTATGTTTTTTGCGCCGCGTCGAGTCATACCTCCGGGCGCGGTGCGGTGCGGTGATATGTCTTTTGCAAGCGGCTGCATGCATAATTGCTCGGTCTGCCTTGTATCTGTGTGCAAGCATAAATGCATACGAAAGGCGAGCACCACAGTGGCAAAGCGGCCATGAAGCTAAAGTCGGAGCGTCCTAGTCGTCATCATCTTCGTTGAATTGAAACAGCGAGTTGATTTGTGACCAGCTGCAGAGCTGCAGCGGCGTCTATGATATGTCATGCGTCATTTCAATCATAGCGTATCCCTACAGATTTTGTTCACTCCTTCGAGTTTTCGCGCTCATATCTAGCTATCATTTGCCGCAGAATGAAAAGTCCATTATCGACCCCTGCCCGTACCCATGCCGCTCCGATCAGGCCTGACCAGTCCCCTGCCTCTCCCTGCATTGGATACCAAGGGCATTCTCACCCCTCTCTGCGCGCCTGCTCTGCCCCTTATCGACCCCAAACCACCACCGACACCATGAGCCCCCATGCCCAGCCTACCTGCTAATCCGCCCCCATTCGCGACTATATTCGAGGCTACGCTCATGCCCGGACTCGAAATAGCCTGAGCATGGGCAGACGCATCCACCATGAGTATGTCATCATCTGGCGTCTTGGCTCTGAAGCCACGACCCTTTCTAACGATGACCTCTTCTTCTTCTTCTTCTTTCGGCTTAGCTTTCGCGTCCTGCTCTCTCAGCAGTCTACCGGCTCCTTCGTCTTCGCTTCTTGCATTAGACGTACGAGTCGGAGTTGCAGCCGAGGACGAAGCGTGACGAAGGATTGAGAAGCTCGTCGGTCGTTTGGGCTCGGCCTCTGGCTTACTTTCGCTGGTCAAGCTAGTGTTGTTTGCAGGCGGGTTCGGCGATTTGGGTTGAGTGGATCGAGAGAGGATTGACAATCCCTTAGGCTGAGACGGGGTCGGCGTGGCTCCTTGGGCGGTCTGCGGGGACGATGAAGACGTTGACCTACTGAGAATGCTTAGCCCCCTTGGCCCCGTGGGCGCGGCTGCTGGGGATGACGATGGTGAGCCTGGCAAAGTGCTGTCGGATTTCCCGTTGAGTCGATCGCGGAGAGACAGCTTAGCAGATGCGGTTGTCGGAGCCGATGGCGCTGGCGATAACTTGACTGAAGCATCCTCTTTTGCTCGTTTCGGTCTCGGGGCATCGTCACCCATTCCTTTGGCGTTCAACCTCGAGAGCAATGAAGGTCGGTCTGTCGAAGGAGTAAATGACGCTGCCTTCTCTGGCGAAGATACGTGTAGAGGAGTCTCTTCCTCTCGCTGACGTTTGCCGGACGGTGATGGCGATGACGTCGTAGCCGAGGTGGTTGTACCTAGTCTGTCGGCCAATAACGTCGGGGTACCCCGTACAGGTGGTGCAGCCTCAGAAGCGACTTTGTTCAATCGCGTCGAAAGCGGCTTGCCTGACTCGGGGGCGGACGCGGCGGGTAGTGATGTCGATTTTGCGGCAGAGCGTATCGCGAGCCCTTGAGCGGGGTTTGTGATGATTGGCCCTTGCTCAGACGGTAGCGGAGGAGTAGGAGGTCTTTGTGGTGACTCCTTCGAAGCGGATGCAGGACCAGGCGAGGCATCCCTGCGGTCGCTCTTATCCGTCTTTGCACGCGTTGGCGAAGCGCTTCTTCGCCGAACAGGTGAACGAGGTACTCGCGTTGGTCTGTCCATTCCGTGCGTCGATGGACCTCTGCTATCGCGATCACGATCGTGGGTATCATGGGTAGGATGAACTCGACCAGCGGTTGCGCTACCATTGCTTGGCCTAGGGCCTGTTGGAGGTGGCTTGGCCGTACTCGAGGGATCGGCGACCCTTGAGGAGCCTGCCCTCGGTCCCGCAGGAGGTGCTCTGGTCTCCCTATCCCTATCTCTGGGTCCTCGCGGTGCACTCGGACCACTGCTACCGCTGGAACCAAGAGTGGATGTAGATGTAGACCCTGCTCGAGCAGTACCGCCATTGCGTGGTCCCGAGGGCGGCATAGCGGATGATAGCGAAGATGAAGATGGACCGCCCATAGCTGACGGTCTGCTTGGCGGAAGTGGCTGTTGGCGCGACATGGCGGACGACCATGATGGTGATATTCTGGTGATTCTACTGCGGGTATCGCTCAGGATCTACAAATCAATAAGCCACAGGGGAGGGACAAATCAGATTAGCAACTCAACCAGGGCTCAAAGTGACAGAGAGACGGAACAGAGACGTGTGAGAGGTGGAAGAGGAGAACCCACCTCTGCCATATCGGTGACGTTCCGCCACATCTTAGATTCCATCGACCCGAGCGAAGTCTGCCTCTCGATCCGACTAGCCTCTCGAGCGATCTCTGATAACCCTCTTGCGTCGGAAGAGCTGATCCATGATCGTCGGTCGGACTAAACATATATAACGTACAAAAACACAAGACAGGAAGGTCAGCCGCTTCCACTTCTTCAGTCGCTGCTTTGAAATCCCAGATCAAAACGAGCCAACGCGCCGGTCAGACTCACTATAGTGGCGAGTCGATAGATTGCGTAGAGGACGATCTCGACCAAAGAACCATTGCTAGCGATAATGTTACGTGATAGGGTCTAGAAAATCGCAATAGCCCCCAGAAGATTGAGAACCCCTAAATCAGCTTCTACACAGGCTCGAATCAAATTGACAGACTAGTCATACTCAAACTCACGACTAGAGGATACAGGACAACTTCGATGAAATCGCGAGCAACTCCTTCCTCGGAGACATCCTTATCCTGTCCAGCGTTCGTCCTACTTTTGTCGTTTGCCCATTGGTCCAGCGCCGCATCTACCCACTTTCTAAGTCCCTGCAAAGCCTTTCGCGCCGATATTGAATCCTTCGAAGCATCACTCTCTCCCTTGGCTGACGGCATCGCAAGAGCGAGCTTGATCAGAGCTTTACCGTGTACGCCGACGAATGACATGGCATAGCGAGGATCGACCGGTGAAGCTCTCTCGACGTACTCCACGAAGATATGGAGTACTGACGCCGACTCTTCGGGATTCGCACCAGAACGAGGTGCGGAGGATCTCGTCAGGGCTCGAAGGAACCTGGTCTTGGTCTCGGGAGTTGCGCCTTGCCCAGAGATCGAAGGTAGATCCTTGAGCATGTCCAAGATCATCCTTACTTCCTCTTCGCCTTTCACCCTGTCCAGCACTTCCAGGAACCCTTCCCTGAACACCCTCTCCACCTCGACGGCGTGTTCTTTGTCGCCATTGCCGTTACCGTTACTGTTACCGTTGGCAGCAGCACCTCTGTTTTCGAGGGTGTCTCTCCGAAATCCCCTGGCGTCGTTGTACAGGTACTCGATGATGTTTCTACGCGAAGCGCCGGTTTCTTCTTCCGATCCACGACAGTCGTCTATCATCACGCTCAGAACATCGATAGGCGAGACGGTCAAGAGCATCTGGAGGGATTCTCGGACGTGTTTCAGTTCGCGGGGTTCTACGGAAGGGTGGGGGGGTCGTGTGTGTGCGTTGATCATTGCCAAGGGATCGAGTTGAGCGAATTCAATGGAATGGAAGGGGAAGCGTATTGGGAATTCGCATTGAAATTGCAAGACATGATAAGGGGCGGGGTGGGGAGTGGTCCCAGTTTGTGTCGGAGCGATGCGATGCAAAAGTTAGCTTCAGCTCGTGAGCAGCACTTGGGAGAATCTCCCTTCGAAGCAAACAGTACAGGTAGGATCGAGAGTTGAGACCCCCCCGAAGCTTGGGACTTACGACAAGCGAGCAACTGAAGTAACACCCCCGTGTTCCCTTTGACCCATCTCGGGTCTGCCCTGCCCGTAGGTCCAAGACCTTTGATCCCGATGATCCTCACTTTCTCATCCTCGTCCTCGCACAGATCGAGCAGGGCATCGATAGTGGCATCTTGGAGATCTTCAAACTCGCCAAAGAATTTCGAGACGAGCGTGCCGAAGAATGCCTTGTGTTCGTATGATGGGTCGGACGCTAGTGTGATTAGATGCGAACGGAATATGCGGCGCTGCGAATAGATGAGCGTTGCAAACACATATCAGAATCAGCAGTGCCCCGACTAACTGAGCGGTTTGAGTCATCTGTGTCATTCGTGGAGAACGTGTACATCAGAAGTTGATGATAGTCGCCCGAAGGGGAAGGCAAAACGTCCGATGATGAAAGCTCAAGCAGCGACAGAGCCATGTCTCATGATTACTCACACTCTCAGCAGTAGAGTTGGGCGCAACAGCAGCCGTCATGAGCCTTCTCGCCTTTTCGAGCGGATCATCGCCCGTGGCGGTCGACGCGGTCGACATTGACATTGATATTGCGGGACGAGCGGCAACGTATATCAATCACCACAACTGTCGTTGTTGTTTGTCTGTGTGTCGTTGTCGTTGTCGGTCTCCTTTTCGTCGCACACCAAGTTGAATGTACCAATCTCTGTCCAGAAAATTCTTCAATGATCAGTCTCAAGCTAGAAGAGCATGTAAGAACGGTTTCTCTTCTAAGCGAGTGTGGTCATGATATTGTCGAAGCGTGCAATTGCAAGGGATCATCTGGCAAAGTTGGGAATTGTTGGAATTGAGTAAACATCTTATTCCCCGTCATCACTTTCACTTTCAAACGTAGTCTGATTAGATTCCGCTCGCCGGAGCCAAAGCTTCATTGTCTTTTCTTTGCCCAACGACCCTCACGCTTGGGGGATATAATGCATATGTATCTATATGTGTGTAGACAAAGATAGGGGATATAAGTCGAAAGTCAAAGAGTTGAAGGAGTCCCGATCATAAATAGAAAGATGATGATATACCGAAAAAAATCCCATTTCGCGTAGTCGATGATAAAACAATGTTGATGACCCAAATCAGTCAGAGAGCGAGATGGATAGATAGGTATTTATCTAGCCTGCTCCGCTCCATGTCCCGCTGATTGTACCTTTTGCTGGCATCTAAAGTATCCTCAATCTCCACAGCCTCGTGTCGTCCGGTGAACGCAA